AAACTGCAAGCCCTGACCACGGCAAAAAGTTTCCGTGTCTTGGAAGCCGTGCTTGCGGTCCTCATAGCCGGCACTACTACTACTACTACTACTACTACTGCCACAGCTACTACGAGAAATGGCAATACCGAAACCGGCATACACAACCTTTGAGTGCAGGTTTCCTTTGTGCAGTCGTGGATCCTCCAGCGAGCCATCGCAAGTGCCAGCAACACGCCCGCAAGGCCTGCCAGCGAGGTGTCGTTGCGGTCTAGGGAGTTTTGGCGTGGATTCAGGGTTCAGGGTCGAGTCGAGTGAGTCTAGGTTCCGTATAGTTTTATATTCCAGGGCATATCCTTCCCGAAGAGGCAAGGTTTCGTAACTGCCAACTACACCCTAACCCCCCGGGGAGCCATAAGCCAATGGCTCCTTAAGCAAACTTTGCCTCGGAAATACTACATTCTTCGCCCAGGCTCCAGACCCAAATCTCAAATAAAGCTCAACCCAATACCGCAATCGACGAGGTGGTCTAATATCATCTCCAGATATTCCGAACACTAAGAGCAGAACCCGCTAATCCAGGCGCGAAATCCTAAACCGCAATATGCTGAAGACCTGTTGCCTGGTCTATGTGATGAGGTAGCAGACAAGACTTGCAAGCGCGAAGCCTGAGCTCCTATGGCTCAGGACGCATACCTAAACCCTAGACCCTATACACCCGAGAACCCGGAATCACTGAACCCCAAATCCCCCATGTTCCAAACTGCACCGACAGCCTGGTAATTAGTTTTTTACCCCCCCCCCCCCACACCCTACGTTTCAGGAAAGCAAGAAATCGAAGTATATAGTAAGCCCCAAAATAGTTGGAAACCGGCTTAAGGACACTTAGTGCTGGGAGTCCCGATACATTACTCTTAAGGAGTGAGGCTCTCCCAGCTTTTGGGCTTCAACTGTCGACAGCAAAGAGTGCCCCTTAATTCAATGAAACCCAAATCCGAACAAATCCTGTATAAAACCAACAAACCCTAAACCCTAAACCCGAATCCTAAAGCCTGAGGACAAAAGACACCCCTAAACCAGAGTAAATTCCTTCTGCAACCCTGCTCAAGGGCTCCCAAAAACAGAACACCAACCCTAAGCCCCAAACGAGAGCTTGTTGATTTACCGTGTTGTGGTTTTTGGGGGGGCTGAAGGGAAATCCGAAACCCCTCCAACAATTACTTGTGAATAGGTACCTCTATAGGACAGCAAGGGGAAAATATGAACCAAGACCTTCCAAAATTCCCTTAGTTAAGGAATATACCTCAAATCATGTTCGAGGTCCTACCATAGTTTCATCTATGGTCAGGCGTCCGGCGTTCCCAGCCCCCACCCCGCAATACGGGTAGGAGGAGGGGGGGCTGGCGCGTGCGGCGAGAGGGGTGGAAGCGGTTGGTTGGGGTGCTGCCGGGTGGCGGCCGGGGGTGACAGAGAGGGCCGGGATCTTACTTACGCAAGGTCTTCGCAAGCCATAAACCCTGTAACGTAGGGCGTGTTCTTTAAACCTTACACCCTACCCTAAACCCCGCCTAAATGCAGGCTCTAACCTTGAAGCAGAACATAAACCGTCGCCCTAACCAACCTACACCTCAAACCCTCCCTAAGCTCTTGTCGACTCGAAGCCTTATAACTTTAACCTGAAGCCTAAACCCAAAACCCCACAACCACACCACAGGGGGAAGAGGGGGGGAAGATGGACCATGGAGGGGAGGGGGGGGGGGAAGGGGGCGCGGAGCGCCTGACCATATATATATATATACATA